ACCCCCAGGCTGGAGGCAAACACGCAGCGCGAAGTGACCGCCTTGCGGCTGTGCCAGTCACACCCCAATGTGGTGAAGCTGCACGAGGTGCATCAGGACCAGGTACCACGCTGCTGAGGCTGGGGCGGAGCGCGGGGACAGAAGAGGTGGCCAATGGGTGGGGGTGGGAGAGGCGGGCAGGAGGCAGGGCCTGAGGATAGAAGTGGAGTCCGAGGGGGACCGGAAGGAGGTGGAGGTAGGATTTGAGGGGAAGAGGGCCTAAGGATTGGAAGGCGGACCTGAGGATAACCAAGGCAACGGAATCAGAGAAGGGCGCAGCGTAAAATTTTATCCAGGCGGGACTTGAAGGTGGCCAAAAGGGGCGGGGCTTGGGGGCACACCTGCGGGCCGGGGGCGGGATTCAAACGAGGCTGAGGCCTGAGGGTAGGGATTTGGGGTTTTTGAGAGGGAGGGCAGTGTGTGTGTGTGGCTCGATGGTGCAGGGCCTAGCCGGAGGATTGGGGTGGCGGGTGGGTGGAGCCTGGCTGCTGCTGGGCGGAGCCTGGTGGGTGGGGCCCGGCCCTCCATCCGTGTGTAGGGACTGTGGTCTGCGGCGTCTTCCGCAGCTGCACACGTACCTGGTCCTGGAGCTGCTGCGGGGCGGGGAGTTGCTGGAGCACATCCGTAAGAAGCGGCACTTCAGCGAATCGGAGGCGAGCCAGATCCTGCGCAGCCTCGTGTCGGCCGTGAGCTTCATGCACGAGGAGGCGGGCGTGGTGCACCGAGACCTCAAGCCGGAGGTGGGCGTGGGCCTCGGCGGCGGGGTGGGCCCGCGCGGAGGCCGGTCTCTGACTCCGCCCGCCACCCGCACAGAACATCCTATACGCCGACGAGACGTTGGAGGCCCCGGTGAAGATCATTGACTTCGGCTTCGCGCGGCTTCGGCCGCAGAGCCCCACGGGGCCCATGCAAACGCCCTGCTTCACGCTGCAGTACGCGGCCCCCGAGCTGCTGGCGCAGCAGGGCTATGATGAGTCCTGCGACCTCTGGAGCCTCGGGGTCATTCTGGTAGGAGGCGGGTCTCCGGAGTGGGTGCAGGGCCGCCTGGGCTGCGTCGAGGCCAGGGGCAGGGGACATCTTGGTGGGGGTGGCAGAGCTTAGCTGCCAGGGGTCGCCGTAATCCTGAGGCAGGGTCACCTTGCTGCTGCGCTCAGGGGCACCCGTGTGGTGGAGGCCAGGGACAATCACGCACGGTCTTAGGAATTCCTCTGGCGGAGAAGTGGGCTGAAGGCTCAGCCTCCTGGCCTCCTCCGTCCCGCAGCCTGGCGGTCTCACAACTCCCTACACCTCTCTTCTAGTATATGATGCTGTCGGGGCAGGTCCCCTTCCAGGGGGCCTCAGGCCAGGGCGGGCAGAGCCAGGCGGCAGAGATCATGTGCAAGATTCGCGAGGGCCGCTTCTCCCTGGACGGGGAGGCCTGGCAGGGCGTGTCCGAGGAAGCCAAGGAGCTGGTTCGAGGTGCGTGCGCGGAGTGGGCCATAGTTGGGCGGGAAAAGGCCTAGGGTCCAGGCTAGGCCAGGGAGTCGTTGCAGGATCACGTGTTCTGGTTTCCTGGTTGGGGGGCGGGGAAGGGAGGAAGTGTGTGGGATTGTTGGGGCCTCTCTAGGACGCCCACCTTGCCCACGCCCTTCCCCAACCACGCTCGGCCCTCGTCCAGGGCTTCTGACCGTGGACCCCGCCAAGCGGCTGAAGCTCCAGGGGCTACGGACCAGCTCGTGGCTGCAGGACGGCAGCGCGCGCTCCTCGCCCCCACTGCGGACCCCCGACGTGCTCGAGTCCTCTGGGCCGGCCGTGCGCTCCGGCCTTAACGCCACCTTCCTGGTGAGGGGCGGGGTCTCTGGAGATGGGGGAGGGAGGGGACCGAGCCCAGACGGAGGAGTGGCTTCTGGCGGGTTGGGGCCCTGGCCTTTCCGGAGGCCAAGGAGCTGGCCATCACCTGGTGGGATGAGGGGGCTGCCGAGGTCAGGCTAGAGGTAGGTTCCGGGAGCCAGGCGGGCCCGGGGACTCACCCCGATCCCTCCGTCAGGCGTTCAACCGCGGCAAGCGCGAGGGCTTCTTCCTGAAGAGCGTGGAGAACGCGCCCCTGGCCAAGCGGCGCAAGCAGAAGTTGCGCAGCGCGGCCGCCTCCCGCCGCGGCTCCCCTGCGCCCGCCGCCCCGGGGAGGGCCTCCGCCTCCAAGGCGCCGCCCCGCCGCGCCAACGGCCCCCTGCCCCCCTCCTAGCCCTCGCCTCTGCGACCCCCTTCCCCCATAGGGTCTGTTCTCTGGGAACCCAGCGCATGGGTCCCAGGCCAGCGGCTCGGCCCCGACCCCCAGGGGCTGCCCTGCCCGTCCCCTTTTCCCTTACTCCCTGACAGAGCAGAAGTATTTTTATAAGCAGAGAATTTTTTTTTATGTTTTACCAGGTAGATAAAGATGCAGGGAGGGACGGGTCCTGTTGGGGAGTGGGGGGCAGCGGGAGCCGTCTTCCAAGACCCTGCTTCATCCGGGGGTCTGCTGTGGGGGGGGGCTGCTCCTGCAGGGAAGGTGGCCCCCCCACCCCATTCCTAAGCTCTGAGCTGCCACAGGGAGAAACCAGGATCCTCCCCTGCCTCCCGGCCTCTGATGCCCTGCTCCTGGGGGTCGAGGGGCTCCCTTCAAGCTGTCACTTTATGGGCTGTCTGTGCAATTCCGTCCACCAAAGACCTGTGTTGGGGGATTGAGTGTGAGGCCTGGGCGACCCCTGAAGCATTTGTGCTTCACTTGAGGGCACCTGCTTCTCCCCTGTCATTGGGGCTGATGTGGGAGGCAGGTGACCCCCTAAAGGGAGGCTCGTTCTCACTCACCCCTCCCCTTTGGCACAGCTGCCCCTGGCTGGGGGGGCCGGGCCTTGGGGTCTAGGCTGGGCATTCACTGGTCACTGCCTCAGCCCATCTAGGCTGTGCCTTTGACTTTAAAATAAAAGTCCACTCAGTGCTGTACGGTCTGTGTGCGCGCGCGCGCGCGCGTGTGTGTGTGTGTGTGTTCATACACGTGTGTGGGTATGTCTGGAGCCTCGGGGGAGGGGGAGGGCAGACCGATTCTGGGATGAGAAGGCACCCTTTGTCCTTGGCTTTGGCATGAGCTGTCGGAAGGCCAGACTCCCATCTTGGGTGTGTTCTGTGCTATGGACCACTTAGGATGTCCCTTGTTGTGAGTAACAGAAAATTGAGCTCACACTTGCGTAAGCAGCATGAGAGCTACAGGGCTATGAACTGCCCAGTCCAGGGCTGTTGTTCTGTGCCGTAGAGTCGGACCCGACTCATAGCAACCCTTCCTTGGGTTTGCGAGGTGGTATCACTACGGAGGTAGGTTGCTCAGCAGCTTTAGGCAAAGCCTTATCCATGCCTCCGTTTCCCCACCTGCAACTCGTTGTTCCCTTGGTGTCCGTCTGGCTGGCCCCAGGATGGGTGCCAGCTGCTCCGGCAGCTGCAGATTGAAATCTGGTGATAAAGGGGACATTCTTTGCTTTCGCATTCCCCACAGAAATCCTGAGATGTAGTCTGATTGGGTCCACTTAGGTCATGCGCCCACCCTGCACCCCTCATTATGGCTAGAGGAAGCAGTGTGCTGATTGGCTTAGATTACGGACTGCCCTGCTTGCGAGCTCACTGGGTGGAGAGTAGGGGCAGGGTGGGCCCCAGGGACTTCAACTGGGTTGGGCTGTGGTGGCTGAGCCTGTCCATGGGGTGGGGGTGGGGGATGGGGCGGTACAGCCCATACCCATGGGCCAGTAGACTCAGCTGATAGTGATTGCAGAGCTCATTCAACCGCAAAGAGATGGGCCGGAAGGATGAGCTGTAAGTTTACTCCATTGCAGGACGTTTGGATTGTTTTCAAACTTTGTTTCTCTAGAAATGAGGCTGAAGGAAACAAGACTTCCATAAGCCTGTGCGTTTAAAAACTAGTTTTCTTGAGAGAGAACTCACCTACCACGCAATTCCCCATTTAAGGAGTACATGTCAGTGACATCAGTATTCACAGCTTTGTACCACCATCATCCAATCCCAGACCATTCTCATCATCCCCGGGAGAAACCCCATACCAGTTGGCCAACTCACTGCCAGCGAGTCGGATCCGACTCACAGCAACCCCCCTGGGGTTTCCGAGGAGGTATCACTATGGAAGTAGGTTAACCAGTCTTCCTTCCGAGGAGTGGTTGGTGGGTTTGAACCTCCAGCCTTCTGGTTAGCAGTCAAATGCCTAAAGCACTATGTCACCAGAGCGCCTACCAGTGGCAGTCACTTCCCATTTCTTCCTTCCGTTCCCCAGCCCTAAACCAATTGCCTGGCTCTACCCATGTCCTCAGAGTAGACCTGAATCCACAGGGGTTTCAGCAGCTGGTTTTTCAGAAATTCATCACCACACCCTTCTTTTCAGGGTGTCTCTGGGGGACTCGAACCTCCAGCCTTTTGGTTAGTGGCTGAATGGAACCATTTGACCACCCAGGGACTTCCCAAGCCCTAGACTTGCCTACATACTTTGATACATACTTCTTAGTGGTGGTGGTGTTATGTGCCATCAAGTCCAACAACTCATAATGACCCCTTCTTGGGTTTCTGAGGCGATACCACTA